GATTCTATGATTCTATGATTCTATTGCCACTTCCTTTCCACTCCAAATCCTGCAAAGTCTTGCTTCCTCACTCATGCCAGAAGAAACTGGCAGAGGTAAGAGTCTTCTTGCAAACCCGCTGTACTTAACTTTCTTGTTAGCAATAGCATGATTCTATTTACTCTCTTTGTGGATTTCCCAAGTATGTTTTCATCTAAAATGCAAAGCACTTCTTTTACCTTTGTGAAATTCATTGAGGCATGTGTAGCATTTGAATTAGAATTTGTTTCATTATACTCATACTAAATCCTGTATGAGAGATTTGTTGAATAAAGATGAGGCAGCCGTTGGCTGGAAAGGCCAATGAGTACTCATGGGCATGGTAGTAATCCAATGGAATCCTGGATGTTTCCTCAGGTAGAGGTACTTTTTGTTCACTAGATGCTGCATTATTATGGAATTTTGAATATCATTAAATATTTCTGATATATAAATATCTGTACAGAGATTTCTTTATGAAGGTTTTCAAACAAATCATTATTTCAGGGCCAAAAATACCACACTTTTTGATTAACAACCTGTTTTAAAATCTGCTTTACTGCTTTTAATCCGTATGAGAGGTGTTGCTGTTCTACCATGCCAACACCAGTCCAGTTACAATAAACAGATTCTTTTAATGTGACAATTTGGAAGAAATGCAGTCTTGTAAATAAGCATGCAGTTCCTTTATCTTAACCATTTAATTAAAATTACCACAAATGTAGACTTAACACCTGCAGAAGTCCTGTGTTATAAACATGGTGTATGAAGTAGCTTATGTTGACATATTAATATTAATCATCCATTTAAAATAAAAAGTTTTTTCTTTCTGATTCTAGGCATCATTTTACATGTTTATTCACTGTAGTAACATAAAAATACTGATGCAAAAATCTTACCTGTATAAAGCTGTATTTCTTTAAGTGTGTTTAAGTAAGTGGTGTATAGTTTTGGGTTTCTGAGTAGGTTTCAATATATGTTTTAGACAATTTTTTAGCTGATATTTTGGAGAGTGATTATTTTATCTATGCTTACATTTTGAGTTTTCTTTCTCTCTTATTTTCTTGCTGTTTTCTGTTCAGAAGTGAAAAATGACAAATGAAAATTCATGCTAGAGAATGGTCCATGAAGGTTTTGCAGCCTCTAAGTAATGGTTTTCTTTTGTTACATCCTTAATTTATGCCAAAATGAAAAGGGCTGGTTTAAAAAAGGGCACACAAGACTGATTTGTTGCTGTAGTTCTGTTTCATAATATTAAAACAGAATCCAAATGAAGATACTGTATGGAATGACATACTGAGAGATTTTTGAATTCTTCCTCCAAAAGAAAAACCGAAAGATGAAATGGAAGAAATGGTTTTACACTTGCAGAAAGAAGCAGAAGGCAAGTAAAATTAAAAATACATACCATTAGTACAACAAAATTTGAAAACCTGAGGTATTTTCAATAATGTTTTTTGTAACTTAAGCATTGTACAATAATTATATTTTTATTTTAATTATTTTCACTCGGTTATTTTAAAAAGGATTCTGAATTAAACATACAACACACTTAGTGACAAACTTTATGGCATATAACATGTACAGATAACTCATTTTCATAACTTCACAAAGGAACCAGCCAATATAAGCAATATTCACATTCTGAAAAATTGGTAGTAATCCACTCCTGAATTTCTGTATTTTCTTGTATACTTACAGTTAAATAAATTTCAAATTTTTTTTCTCTCTTACCCAGAACTTTATAAAAGTTGACTAATTTCTGAAATTAGTATTTCTTTTTCTTTCATTAGTTGCATGTCTGTGTAATACTTTTCATACATTTAAAATGTTTGAAGACACTTTGGAGAACAAAAGGTGACTAATTTTTTGTTTGTTGTTTCTAGTGAAACTGTATGAAAGAATGAATCTTGAAGAATGAAAGGAAGCTGAAGATGACTTTGATGAGGCTGATAGGAAAGCTATTGAAATGTACAGGTATAGTAAGACACTTCTATCCAGATTAACAGTGCACAAGTCACTATTGTGTGTTTTTGAAAGATGTTTATCAAGTCAGCTGTGGACCCCTAATACACAACTATTGTGTTTATTTTGCTTCTTATCCAAGATTAATTTTAGTGGCTTTTCTATTTCTTACTTCATGAAAATATTTGTTTGAAGCTTATATAGAAGGAAGGCTCAGAGGAGGTCTAATCAATGTCTATAAACATCTGAAGGGAGGGTGTAAAGCAGACAGAGCTAGGGTGTTTCCAGTGGTGCGCAGTGACAGGACGAAAGGCGATGGGCACAAACTGAAACACAGGAGGTTCCTTCTAAACATCAGGAAACACTTTTTTACTGTGAGAGTGACCGAGCACTGGCACAGGTTGCTCAGGGAGGCTGTGGAATCTCCATCCTCGGAGATGTTCAGAAGCCATCTGGACGTTTTCCTGGGCAGCCTGCTTAAGGCTCACCCTGCTTGAGCAGGTGGGTTGAATCAGATAATCTCCAGAGGTCCCTTCCAACCTCAGCCATGCTGCAATTGTGTAATTCTGTGATACACCATATACTGTTCTTAGGCATAACTGTGGCACAACCTTATTCAGCTATTTAATAGGAGTACACCAATCATTTTACTTACAATGCCATGCAGAGTCAATATGTTTTAGGAATTCAGGTTCAGAAAACTTTTGCAGCTTGTATGGAGACTTAGTAAATTTAGCTATACTGGACATTCACATGTGTATTTTTGTAGTTGTTTAACAAAGGACTCTGCTGAGTTCTGCAGAGCTTTGTACTGTAAGTAAGAAAAATTGGACATGCGGTTTCCACAGAACAAATATGCTAATATGATCAAAACATTTCCTCTGTCTAGATTCTACCTGTACTTATTGCTTTTCCATTGTTAAAATGACTAAAATAATTCTAGTGCTAACACTGTGTATCTAGTGCTATACTCTCATAGGAAGATAATAATTCACATAATTATGTGGAAGTTGTGAACCTAAATTACCATGCATTGTTGCTAGAATATAATAACATTGCACATATATTATTTAACCTTTTTTGAAAAGCCACTTCTATAGTGGCTTTCAGTTGGTAAAATTAATAGCTGCTTTTAGTTCAACAAATCTCCGTGAGGCATTTTCCTTTTCTACCGTGCAAGTATTTTTACAGATGAAGACTGCCATCTACTGTTTTTACATTCCAATTTTCATGAATTATTCTAAAATTGTCTTATAAATATTAGTATAAATACGGGTATTTCTTCCTCAAACTAATCTCCTTTTCAGACTCAGAAAAACAATTAGTACCTACTTTAATTTTTCCTTGCTTTGTCTCAAATAATAAACCCTTGTGCAACATGTTTATTACTCAAGTTTCCCAAATCTGATACTGAGGAACATAAAACTAAGAAAATGTATTTTAATGTTACCTTTTTGAATAAAGAGTGGCATAGAAGCCACTAAATATTGGTGAATATTGGCATAGAAGCCTTTCCAGCTCTGAAATGACATTAGAAGACCTTGAGCTAAAGGGTTACTCAAAGCATTTTTTAAAGTAATTGAGAGAAATGCACCAGATATTATTTTAAAATGCATTTAAAATGTTCCAAATGCTTATTTTTATTATTACTTTTTAATTAGGCAGCAACGCTTGCAAGAATGGAAATGTCTTCAGAGGATGCAAAAGTATGGGGAGCTAAGAGAAATTTGTGGAGAGCAGTATGTAAAGGAAGTTACAAATGCTCCAGAGGATGTTTGGGTTATAATTCATCTTTATCAGTCAAGGTAATTACTTTCTTGTTTAAGATGTTGAATACTTCAATACAGAGAAGTGACATGGTAATTAAGAAGCAACACCAAGAAAAATGAATAGACAATTCGTAGACAAACAATGAATAGACAAATGATAGACTAATGAAATAGCAATTGTTTGGAGGCAATGGAATCATAGAGCGTGGGACCTCCTGGATTTGTTAATTCACTTTGTGAGAGTTAATCGCTTCACTTTTGCTCAACTATATGAAAGACTTCTTTTGCTATGTATGCTTATCACCATGTATTGAACCTCACTGAGATTTCTGAATTTCACTGAGAAAGCGGTGTCCACTGTCTGAGCTAAGGGAAGTTCACTTGCAGGCTCTTTTCTCAGCAGGAGTGCTTTAACAGGATTATTCTACTTTTATTTCCCCTTTGACTCGAACAAATCAAAAGCCCAAAAGGAGAAGTCTCAGTCATGAAAACTGAGGGAAGCTAGGGAATTTGTTAGTTTATCAGTTCCCCAATAAATTCTCTAATGGTAGCAGAGTTGTGACAGGATCCAGCAGAAATGTCAAAGGACTCCCATGATTAGTTCAGTATATGTTAGTTCAGATGTTTTTCAAAAGCACTGAGAATTAGTATGAAACGTTTAATGCATTTTTTAGATTCATACCAGCTTTCTCTTTTCCTTCTTTTTAAGCCTGTTGGGAGAAGGAAGCTTCTTTGATTCTTCTCAATTGTCAGGAATTGAGTATTATTTCCAGGAGCAACAGGAATAGGTCAATCAAATTACATGTTATGGTCTAGACAAGCGATCTGTGCGGTGGGTGGGGAACTGGCTGACAGGCCGCACCCAGAGGGTGATGGTAAATAGCTCCTTTTCAAACTGGCAACCTGTCACAAGTAGGGTTCCCCAGGGATCAATATTGGGCCCAACGCTGTTTAATATCTTCATAAGTGATCTGGATGATGGGATCAAGTGTACCCTGATGAAGTTCGCCAATGATACCAAACTGAGGGGGGAAGTGGACACTTTGGAAGGGAGAGCCACCCTGCAGGAAGACCTGGATAGGCTGGAAGAGTGGGCTAACAAGAACCTTATGAAGTTCAACAAACACACGTGTAAGGTCTTGCACCTGGGAAAACATAAGGAGTTCAGCATAGGCTGGGATCTACTTGGCTGGGGAGCAGCTCTGTGGAAAGGGACCTGAGGGTCCTGGTGGACAACAAGCTCAATATGAGTGAACAGTGTGCTGCTGCAGCAAAGAAAGTCAACAGGATGCTGGGTTGCCTCAACAAGGGCATCACCAGCAGAGATAAAGAAGTCTATCCCACTCTACTCAGCGCTTGTCAGGGCACGCCTGCAATACTGTGCTCAGTTTTGGTCCCTGCTATGCAAAAAAGATGTGGACAGGCTGGAGAGGGTCCAGAGAAGGGCCACAAAGATGACCAAAGGACTTGGAAGCCTGCCATATGAGGAAAGGCTGAGAGAGCGGGGTTTGTTCAGCCTTGAAAAAAGGAGGTTTAGGGGAGACCTTATCACCACGTTCCAATGTTTAAAGGGTGGCTACAAAGAAGATGGAGACTCCCTTTTTACAAGGAGTCACATGGAAAAGACAAGGGGTAATGGGTACAAGTTAACTCCTGGGGAGATTCCGACTGGACACCAGAGGACAATTTTTCACAATGAGAACAATCAGCCATTGGAATATTCTCCCCAGGGAAGTGGTGGATTCCCCAACATTGGACACTTTTAAGATTCAGCTGGACAGGGTGCTGGGCCATCTTGTCTAGATCGTGCTTTTGCCAAGAAAGGTTGGACCAGATGATCCTTGAGGTCCCTTCCAACCTGGTATTCTATGATTCTCTATGAAATTAAATTGTTCAAATTGTAATTTAAATTTACAGATCTGAAAAAAGAAAATAGCAACTTTTCTTGCTTTTCATTGTTTTTGTTTACTGGAGAGCCAATTCTGTACTTTATCATTCATAAATACGAGTCTGTGAGGAAACTCAAAATTCCTTAGGAATGAATGTGAGCTCTCCAGAGTCTCTTATGGCTAGTAACAAAACTGCCTCACCTGTCTTTGGCCACGAGAGGGTGCTGCTGGAACTCTTTGAGGGTCCTTAGGCTAAATCAGCTGCTTTAACTTTGTCACAAGTCACAAAGATCCTAACTTCTAAAAGGTTAACAGGCTGGAGAGAAACAAAAAAAACCCCGTTGTTTTGTTCTGGACACAAGAGGACAATTTTTCACAATGAGAACAATCAGCCATTGGAATATTCTCCCCAGGGAAGTGGTGGATTCCCCAACATTGGACACTTTTAAGATTCAGCTGGACAGGGTGCTGGGCCATCTTGTCTAGATCGTGCTTTTGCCAAGAAAGGTTGGACCAGATGATCCTTGAGGTCCCTTCCAACCTGGTATTCTATGATTCTCTATGAAATTAAATTGTTCAAATTGTAATTTAAATTTACAGATCTGAAAAAAGAAAATAGCAACTTTTCTTGCTTTTCATTGTTTTTGTTTACTGGAGAGCCAATTCTGTACTTTATCATTCATAAATACGAGTCTGTGAGGAAACTCAAAATTCCTTAGGAATGAATGTGAGCTCTCCAGAGTCTCTTATGGCTAGTAACAAAACTGCCTCACCTGTCTTTGGCCACGAGAGGGTGCTGCTGGAACTCTTTGAGGGTCCTTAGGCTAAATCAGCTGCTTTAACTTTGTCACAAGTCACAAAGATCCTAACTTCTAAAAGGTTAACAGGCTGGAGAGAAACAAAAAAAACCCCGTTGTTTTGTTCACTTTTTTTTTTAACTGAGGTTCATATGGTGACTGCATTGCAAATAGGAGCTATGAAAGTAATGAACAGGCCTATGGTGGTAATAGGACTATAGAAAGGTTTCCCTGACATTTACTTAGATTTTACTAGAAGAATGAAGAAGTAATTAAATGTGAAACTGAAAGCCAGTTCAAATAAATTAAAGTAAAATGTATATTACAGATTAAAAAACCTCATTTAAACTCTACAATAAATGAACAAACTGAGCTTTAAAGTCTTAGTGGAGAACAAAATTGAGGCACAATGCTTGAAGCGTCTCGTAGCTTTACTGACGTATTTTAGAGACTGCCTATTATGTATGCATGGAAAATTTTTACTTGGACAGCTCTTTAAATCACAATGATCTTAGAAGAAGCTAACTAAAAATTGTGGTGCAATTCTTATAACAAGTTAAAGTAGAAGCAGACTATAGGAAAAGGTACATTTATTCTTCAAAGGCTTTATTTTTAATAACTTTAGTTATTTTACAAATCATTTACACTGGAATTGTCATCATACTTTCTTATCCTTTTCTAGCATCCCAATGTGTTTACTGGTTAACAAACATCTCAGCCTGCTAGCCAGAAAGTTTCCAGAAGTCAAGTTTCTCAAAGCCATTGTAAACAGCTGCATTCAGAATTACTATGACAGATGTTTACCCACAATACTTGTTTATAAAACTGGTGAAATAAAAGGCAGGTTCATTGGAGTAGCTGAATGTGGGGGAATATATCTTAAAGTGGAAGGTATGAGAAATATTTTAAAATAATTCACATTACAGAACATTTTATGTGGTTTGTAATCATGAGATCTAAAGATCACTGCTTAAAGGTGGAAAAGGTTTTTGAATATTTTTGTAGAAAAAAGTCTACAAAAAGCAAAGAATTAACTTACGTAATTCTGTGGTAAGAATATTGGATAAGCATAGATATTCTGCAATTTCACAGTTAGATACTTTACTGAGATAAAGTTGGGTTGTCGCAGGGATGGCTCCATTTTTGTTGTTGTTGAGATGGAGTTTGATTTTTAATAGAAGTCCTTTTCCTCCTAAGTAAGAATTTATTGCAATTACGAGAATAAATTGTCATTTGTTTTTACAGAGCTTGAATGGAAACTAGCAGAAGTTGGAGCAGTAGAAACTGACTTAGAAGAAAACCCCCAACAGGACATTATAAATACGGTGACACTGTCAGTGTGAAGTATTTCTGCTCATGAAACACCAATACAAAAGCAGTGATGTGATGAAACCACCTATTACTTGAGAAAATGTTAATGCAGATCATCTGTTCTGACATAAATTAGCTCAAATACAGCTTTTTACTGCTTTGGTAAGATGAAACATTAAAAAAAAAAACCAAAACAAAAAGAGCTTTTGTTTCACTTGTATATTTTTTTGGGTTTTGATTTGTGGAAGAAAACTGATGTAGTAATTCAAAGCCATACTTACCTTTTTATACATATAGATGGTTGTCATTGACACCGAAAGTCTGGACTCTCCATTTCATACAAACTCTGCTTAAATGGAATGGGAAGGGGAGGGTATTAGCTGGACGGCTCTAATCCATATTTTCTTCCTCCTTTTATCCAGCATGGGTGCAAGATACTCCTTCAATTCTCAGTGAAATGATTGCAGTGGAACTCTGTTCTGCTAAGGACCTTCTCAGTTCCCCCCCCTGAAAAGATGACCCAAAGACAATGAAGTGTATAGCGATATAAAATCGCTACAAAATTGCCCCTGAATCCATCAACTAATAGTTCTGTTTGTTTGACAGGTGTCCAGGAATCTTCTCCAATGTCAAGGATAATCTTCCTACTATTTTAGAATATTGATGGTTGGATCAGTTGTTCCTTCCTAACAAAAATAAGTATATCCTTAACAATTTAGTTTACAGTACAATTGTAGATAAGCAAAACTACATGAGTGAATGGAGAGACCACGCTCCTGATTCAGCATTTTTATTTATTTTCAGTAGTGAATCGAATTGTATAGTATTAATGTTATTTTTCCATATAAAACCAATAAAAATCATAAAAAACCCAATCTCAGTGTGCTAATGAAGATTAGTTATATACATGGTTTATAGCATCAGGACACAGAAAGAAGAATGAAACAGAAACCATTCACTTAACACTTGGCACATAGATAGCTAAGAAGAACAAGAAAATTAACATTAGCCATTTTTTTTTCCACCAAGTAGGATACAGCTGTGCTATTAGTGGATACCTACTGGCAGATACCACTTCTGGAAACTTTTATTTTGCAGATTCAAAGAGATAACTAGTAGATGCATTTCAGAGATAATGGGTTATCTGCCATTATCTGCCACTTCAAACTAGAAAGCTAACTAGCAGTTTTAAATGTAAATAGGTCATCAGTGACTTTAGATGAACAGTGACGTCAGGTGAATATCAGTCTTGGCTGCTATAAAAAGAGTACTACCAACCGCTTCCTCTTAGCGGCGAACCTCCCTCCTGCTACTGTGGCTGCTGTGAGGTACACAAGCACAACACACAACCGTACAAGTGCTAGTGTTGTCACAATGGAAGTAATAGGAATATGTCGCTAGGTACAACACGAAAGCGGTAAACCTCCCCTTTGGTGACCCTTACTTATGTCGAAGTGAAGTGACCATGCAGTCATGACTACAGCCATCAGATGTGACAAAGCAGCAGCAAAATCCAAAGGAATCTGCAGGTTAAAAGCAGATGTTTCTGGTCCTTGGGTCAGTTACACCATCTGTAGGAAAAGGGTCTAGGAATGAATGTTAGTAAACCTTGCTTTACAAGGATTATGTAGATTGTGACAGGCTTTCAAGTCAGCATCTTTGTCAAATCCACTGATTTCAGTATTCTGGAGTGATATGAAATTTAGTTTCAAAATCAGCGTCCTCAAACAGATCCTCTTTTGAATATGCCAGTGAGGATCAAAAAAGAACATTCTGAGCAGATGATCGTTCTGTGGCTCTGAAGTATATAATGCACAAGACGGCGATGACAGTTCTGTAGGAAACATGGCTATAGTTAATGGAAGTACACTGGAAATTTCTGCATTTCTGGCCCAATCTAGTCTCATAATTCAATAATTCACAAAAGATTCACTGCTTATAATTTGGCAATGTCTGAAAATCATGTTGGCTCTCATGTAACCTTTGTGAGTGAAACAAAACTATCATTATACATCAGCGCAAACTCACATTGACAATAAGAGCCAGAAAAATAGTATTTCTAGGTGGAGAATAGTTTCATAAAACCACCCCACCATTTCTAAGCTTTCTGTCCTGTTCCTTCAAGAGCCTTTAAAATACTTTCAAAAGAGAAGCAGCACTAAAAAAATGACCTTGGTTAGGCAATAACTATTTATAGCTGTTATTGCTGTTTACCTATTAATCGGCAGGCTTCTGTGCTTGCCATGGGGCTTGCTTGCCTCGCTGTATATTAGAGTCTAGTGCTCGTTAGTGGCTGCTTTTTGCTTTCATTGCTTGTTGTACTGCTTATCATCTTACCCTGCTGTGCCTGGGAGCATTTTGATAACAGCAATGGGGATGCACCTGGGCTGGCAGACAGCCAGGGCATTGCTGCTGTTTCTGTGCTGCTGCACTGGACAGGCTGGAGCTCCGCTGTGAACTCGAGTCGAAGGCACTGTGACATGTGGATGAGTCCACATGGGAGCAGGACACTCCGAAGCATCTATGGCCGTGAGTAAGTCCACACCAGAGCAGATACCTCTTGAAGCCTCTGTGGCCGTGGTTATGCCTGTGCCACAGCAGGCATAGCTCTGAAGGGATTGTGGCCCAAAGATAGGTCCACACTGGAGAAGGTACACCTCAAAGCACCTGTGGCTGTGGATAAGTCCATGCTGCAGCAGGTACACCTTGAAGGATCAGTGGCTGTGCACGAGGTCATGCTGGAGCACCTCAAAGTGTGTGCCCATGGATAAGCCCACGACACTTTGGCAGAAAATGCAAATGTGTGTCATTTCTACAGCTGTGTTGCCTGTTTTGATCTCGCCAAATCCCAAAATGTAAGATGTGCAAGCCACAAAGAGTAATTTGAGTAATTTGCTACTGCAACATTGCAGTAGGTAGGTGTTATGCTCCCACACATGCAAGGTGTGAAGAGAGACAGTACAGTATCTCTACTTTGCTTTTCTGAAGAATTGCTACTGGTTACTAAAGATCTTGTGGCAAATTTGATACATACAGCTTGATGCCGTTTTTAGCTTCCTGGTTTCTTGGCCATATTCTAGTTGTGGTAATAACACGTTTTTACTGAAAATATTCCTGCATTTTCTCCTGGATTTTCCATTCCTGCAAAATCCTATTATCTTTACTACATTTCATCATAGGAGCATTACCCTTTGCATGAGTAATGAAATGATTGGTTTTGTTTATATCACATTTTCCTCAATTGAAAGCTAGAAATAGAGTATTATGAATTGGTAAGTAACAAAAATAAGTGTTTTTACTAATGCTTTTTAAAATGCTTCCAGTGGAAGAACTGAGCTCATGGTTAGCTCTTTAGCAGCATTACTGCTAAAGAGGTTCCTGTCCCTACAATACCTTTGCATAAGACTTTAGTCACAAGGTGAATCAAGTGGGAAAACTGATCTACCTGAAAACTAATCCAGAAAGAAAAATCCATGAGATTTTGCAGCCAAGTCAAGTTCCTTACTTCATTCCAGACACAAACACTAATTAAGCTTCTATAGATACACATTTGTAATTACGCTTTTAGATATATTGCTGTTTAAGAGATCAACTGAAAAATAAAAATCCTTGTAGCTGAGAAAGAAAACTGGGAATATTTACACTCTATTACCACTGAGCAATGTTTTATTTTACAGAAAAGAGTTTGCTGCTATATTCTGCTGCATGCAGAACAGTTTTATGTTAACATAACCACCACACATTTAAGCATATTCCAGTCCTGCAGTAGGCAGTATGGCTGGAATCCATTACAGTTGTACATAAAGACTGTGCAGTATCAGTTAGCCATCTCTCTGATTAACTCTGATACCTGACGGAGTTTGTATTTATTAGCTGGGCTGTTACACAACTTTCTCTGCAAAGTCAGTAATACAGGCATGTCTTACAGTTTTTATAAGCTTTACCAACACACAAACACAAGAATGCTAACTTTTATTATCAGAGATGGTCCTGCAAACTCCTACTACAGCTATGTCTTCCTGTGCTGAAATGATGTATTTTCTGAACAAATCTACACCTCATCACTGGCCTGCCTAACAAAAATACTTCAACCCCATACACGGCACTTCAGTTTATGAAGTTCACAATTACTCTTTTACCTTGCAGCCACACAAAAATATCCCAAAACCATAAGGATTAGCAAATGAGAAGAATGGACTGAAATTGCTGCTTTTCAGTCAAAAAGCAGGAAACTTAGTTGCTGTGAGCCTTCCATTAGTTCGGTGGTCCAGAAATCTCTCAGACCTCAACAGCCAATATCAGTACTGTACAATACAAATTGTACAAACCATGCAGTATTAGTACAGTATTTTAAAAGGTATAGGATTTTACTAGGCGTTGAGATTTTAAACTCAGTTAGGGTCGTTTCTTATTTTTAACGTTAGGTAAGACTATTTTATAAAACCGGTATTAAAAGCGCTGTACGCAGACAAAAGGACTGAGACAGTCAAGTCTGTTCTCTGCCGCTCCGTCAAGTTTTACCAGTTTACGTACACCGATAAAAGAAACCATTGACCATCGCCGGGACGGGTTGCTTGTATCCCTAAATAACTTGTGGCGGCACGTCTGTTCCCAGAGAGCATCCGAGATTCCGCTCATTCCCCTCCGGGACTGAACGCATGACCGGGTACCGTGCCATACGTTCAGGCGCTGCCCGGCACGGCGGTTCGTTCCAGGTTTACTCTTTCAGCAGGGAAGCGCCTGCGTTCAGCAGAATGCCTTCCGAGAGCTCGGCTCCGGGCTCTG